AGAGTGACCGTTCACCTTACCTTTAAGACCGCACCAAACCAGTCAGCGAGAATTTGCAGAGCTGTGTCCGTATCATCCCTGACACAAATTAGTTTCTTCATTTTAGCACTTTTCCACTTAAAGAACTGTTGAAACACCTCTTCAGAGTCATCTGCTTCAGAATCTTGAGCACCCATCATCTCTAGAGAAGCAGACAGTTCCTGTGCATCAAGTGAATCAAACAAAAACAGGTTTACAAACCAGAAGAGTTTTGCAACAGTATACTAGCTATAAAAATCAAGACATCTAACTCAGAAAGTTAGCATTAGCTGCTCATATAAAATTATTTCTACTATGAAAGAAATATTTCTTTCTATATGCAATGAAGTATATTATATATTCCGTCTTCCTCTTAGATCTAGTATCAGTATGTCTGAAAATGCAATGCAAAAAAGCATTTCACACAGAAATCATAGAGCCTGATTCTTCCCTTCAAGACATGGAAGGAAGACATCACAAAGATTAACTGCTTATAAGAAGTCATTTGTATTCTAGTTTCTTCTTCCCTATGGATTGGACTTTAAAGTCATACATATCAGGATAAAGAGCAAAATACATAATGGTCCTCACAGAACTGCTCAAATGCAGAAAACAAAGTGAACTTTTATTAAGAAAGAAGATGAGCAGCCAGGGACCTAAGGAATGCTTCTGGACTGATTGCTCCCATAGAAGTCAAATCTCTTCTGATGCACCTTTGTTATCACACCCATTCCTAGACAGAAGAGCAATTATCATGTGTCTGATATTCGAGGGCCCTCTCAAGAAAAAAGTTTTACACTCTGCAAACTTGTATTTCCATCTAAAAGCCGAGTATTCTGCAAGTTTATGAAGCACAAGGTCCACCTCCTTTCGACCTGTATTGGAAAAGAAACTGAAGTGCTGACAGAAACCAGCCTTCCTAGCTCCCAGGTGGGAATTCCCACGCTGAAAAACATTTTGAGATCTACACTGGTATTCGCAGACAATTTGCTGTAGTTCGAAAGAGAAAAGTAAAAAAAAGTGGGATTTAGAGTACAAAAGGCTATTTCAGTTGAAAGGGACCTAAAACAATCACTGACAGGCTTGAGGCAGCAACCACTTCTCTAGGAGGCCTGTTCCAGTGTTTGAGCACCTGCTCAGTAAAACAGATACTTCCTAACGTCCAGTCTGCACCTCCCCAGAGCAGCTTTGAGCCATTTCCATGTGTCCTGTCACTGGATGCCAGGAAGAGATGAGCACCTCCCTCTCCACGTCCCCTCCTCAGGAAGCTGTCGAGAGCAACAAGGTCACCCCTCAGCCTCATTTTCTCCTAAGCAGACAAACCAAGTGTCCTCATCTGCGCCTCACAGGACATTCCTTCCAGCCACTTCACTAGCTTTGTTGCCCCCCTCTGAGTGCATTCAAGGACCTTAATGGCCTTCTGAAATGGTGGGGCCCAGAGCTGCACAGTACTCAGGGTGAGGCTGCACAAACACTGAACACAGCAGAATAATCACCTTTTTTAAGTGGCTGGTTATGCTGTGTTTGATGCACCCCAGGATGTGCCTTGCCCTCTTGGCTGCCAGGACACAATACTGACTCGCATTGAGCCTATTATTGACCAGCACCCCAAGAACCCTTTCTGCAGGACTGCTCTCCAGCCACTCCTCTCCTAATTGACAATTCTGTGCAGCATTACTCCACCTCAGAACCTTACATTTGGACTTGTTAAATTTCATGCCATTGGAGATTGCCCAGTGCTCCAATCTATCTCGATTGCTCTACAAGACTTCCAGTCCCTCAAGAGAGTGAACAGCACCTCACAGTTTGGTATCATTAGCAAACTTGTGAATGCTGCATTCAACTCCTGCATCCACATCACTGATGAATATATTGAAGAGAACTAGCCCTAAAATTGAGACTCGAGGAACACTGATGGTGACCACTCGCCGGACAGATGTAGCCCCATTCACTGCAATCTTTTGACCTCTTCCCATTAGCCAATTTTTCTCTCAGTGCACTGTAAACCTCTCATCCCACAGTTGGACATGTCCAGAAGGATGCTGTGAGAGACAGTATCAGAAGCTTTCCTAAAATCCAGAACTACACCCACCGCCTTCCTTTCACTTCCTTCCACTCACTAGGCAGGTGACGTTATCAGAGAAGGATATAAAATTATTTAAACAAGACTTTCCTTTTGTGAATCCATGTTGACTGTCCCTGATGATTGCATTGTTCTTTAAATGTCTTCCAGTAGTACTCAGTATAATCTCCTCGGTAATTCTTCCAGGAGTTGAGGTTAGACTGACGTATCTGTAGTTTCCTGTGTCTTCCCTCATGCTCTTTTTGTAGATAGGAATAACACTGTCTAACTTCCAGTCAGCAGGGGCTTCCTCAGACTACCAAGATCTTTGGTGGATAATTGAGAGGGAACCTCTCATAGATCTGCTAGCTCTCTCCATACTCTGAGATGAATCCCAGTAGGCCCCACAGAGTTCTGAACATTCAGCTGATACAGCCGCTCCCTCACAACTTCAATGTCCACAAATGGAAAATTACTGTTTCTGCACTTGCAGTTCTCTGACTCAGGAGACCAGACAGCCCAAGGTCTATCAATATTACTAAAGACTAAGGCAAAAAACCATTGAATACCTCCACTTTTTCTTCATCCTTATTAGTCAGATGACCACCTTCAACAAGTACCGGTCCATTGTTTTCTCTAGACCTCCTCTTGCTATTAACATAGTTTAAAAAGCCCTTCTTGTTATCTGAAGCAACACTAGCCAGTGCCAACTCTAATTGAGCTTGGGCCTATTCATGTCTCTTCCCTGCATAAAGAAACCACAGCTCTGTACTCTTCCTGCAAAGCCTGACCTCGCTTCCAGACATCATACAGTTTTCTTCCTCCTGAGCTCCATAAGTTCCCTGCTCAGCCAAGCTGGTCTTACGCCCTGCCTGCTTGACTTACTACACAGTGGAATTTGTTCCTGTGCTTCTAAGAGGTGATTCTTGGAAACCAACCAGCACACAGGGACTTCTAAGCCCTCAAAAACTGATTCCCAGGGTACTCTGCTAAATAGATCCCCAAAGAACTTAAAAGTTTGCTCTCCTTTAAGTGCAGGGAGAAGTGTAGGGTAGAAACTCGGTTGCCCTTTTTACTTATTCAACCATCTCATGATCACAGTGGACAAGACAGCCAGCTATCATCACATCCCCCACGACGACTCCTCTATTCTGAAACAGCAAGTCTAGAAGGACAAATTTCCTAGTTGGCTCTCAGAGTACCTGTGACAAGAAGTCACCTCCTACAAACATCAATAATTTCTAAGACCTTCTCAGCACCACAGTATGATATTCCCAGTTATATCTGGGAAGTTGAAATCTCCCATAAGGACAAGGGCTATCGATCCAGAAATTTCTCCTAAATAACTACAGAATAATGCATCAGTGCTTACTTCCTGTCTGGGCGATCAGTATTAGACACCCACTACATCTCCTTTGTTTTCCATCCTCCTAATCCTCACCCTGAGGCTCTCAACCACATCATTGTAACTGTGAGGGCTGTGCAATCAAACCTCTCCCTTACACACAGCACGACACCTCCACCTTGCCAGCCCTGCCTATGCCCCCAAACAGCCTGTAGCCCTCCATCCCAGCACCCCAGTCACAGGACTCATGCCACCCAGTCTCACTAACACCTATGGTATTGGGGCTCTGGGAGCTGACCAACACTCCAAGCTCATCCTGTTCGTTTCTCATACTGCACTGGCACACGAGCATTTCAGATACACCTCTGAGCTCTCCATGCTCCCAGAAGCAGTGTAAATGTCCTTCCATTCCATCAGGTTGTTCTCAAGGGAACTTTATGAGGTTCAACAAAGCCAAGTGCAAGGTTCTGCACCTGGGTTGGGGCAATCCCTGGTATCAGTACAGGCTGGGGATGAAGGGAGAGAGAGTAGCCAAAAAAGTGGAAAAGGACTTGGAGGTACTGGTGGATGACAAACTGGACATGAGCTGGCAATGTGCGCTCACAGGGCAACCATACCCTAGGCTGCATCAAAAGAAGCACAGCCAGCAGGTTAAGGGAGATGATTCTGTCCCTCTGCTCTGCACTGGTGAAGCCCTACCTGGAGTAGTGTGTCCAGCTCCAGAGCCCTCAGCACAGGAAAAGACTTGGACCTGTTGGAGCAGGTCCAGAAGAGGGCCACAAACTGATCCGAGGGCTAGAAACCCTCTGCTGTGAGGACAGGCTGAGAGAGTTGGGGTTGTTCAGCCTGGAGAAGAGAAGGCTCCAGGGAGACCCGACTGCAGCCTTTCAGTACGTGAAAGTGGCGTATAATAAAGATGGGGACAGTCTTTTTAGCAGGGCCTGTTGTGACAGGACAAGGGGTAATGGTTTTAAACTACAGTAGGGGAGATATATCCTAGATAAATGGAAGAACTGTTTTACACCAAGGGTGGTAAGACACTAGCACAGGTTGCCCAGAGAGGTGGTAAATGCCCCACCCCTGGAAACATTCCAGGTCAGGTTGGATGTGGCTCTGGGCAACCCGCTCCAGTTGAAGAAGTTCTTGGCCTTCCTCTTACACCAATGCAGTATTACCACCTGGGAAGCACGGAGCTCAGTAGCTCTTCTTTTCAGTCGTAGCCAGCTGGACCCAGCTGTGGCTGACACTGTTTCTCTGTAGTTCAGGCTAACAACCATTCTCATTGGAAGGTATAAAACATCAGTCAGAAGAGGTCTGTGATGCAGAAGAAAAATTGCAATGCACAGCTTTAGCGAGAGCAACGTTCGGGTCCAAGCTCCTGTTCTTCTGAGAGATACTGGAAAAACCACTCTTTTCTCTAGGACAACACACCATGACCTCTTCAGCTCTATAAAACTGCAACCAAGGTTCTCACTGATATTTGGCAAAAACTCATTTCTGTTTCCCTACTTGATCTTGATTTTGATCTTCTAGCTCCTAATACAGGAGAGGATCATCAATACAATTAAGCTAAAGCGCAAAATTAACTTAACACCAAGTAGCAACACTTCAGTACCCCTTCAAATATTTTCAAAAAACTATTAAAATTTCACTGCTGTACAATTACCTAGAAGATGCTTAATGGCCACCACCTAGTGGATTAGCACAGCATAACCTTTAAACACACACAAAAAAACAACCACAAAGCAGAAAATATCCCTACAACAGCACACTACAACTTTCCTCTGCCTAAAGGATCAAGATCCACGCAGGGCCTCCAGTGACAGAAAGCCAGGAAATGCAACCCATCCAGTTTCTTTTCTAATTAGATAGCTATCTGCCTATCAGACTAGCAACAAAAAGTAAGTGTATCAAACAACTTTTTTGAATGGCATTGACAAATAATTCCATTAGAAATGAAGTCAGTAATTCCAGGAAAATCTGAATGCTTCCATTTATTACTGCTGCTCCAACATCACACAAACTTATGTGCAGGCTGTAATCATGGTGATTTTTCATGAGAACCTATCTCACATGTGTGGACAAACACATCTCGAATTTGTACAGACAGGCTGTCAAACTATTGCCAACCTTTGTCCCCTCTCCACACACACATGCACAGGCAAAAATAAGCAAGTCATATTTCCAAAGTTAAAAACAGGAGAAGAAACTATTCCTTCCAGCAAAGGCCAGAAACACCAGATTGGTGTTCCTCTTGGTAAAGTCCTCTTCAATAGTTCTTACTGCCTCTACAGAGCTTATTTTCCTATCTACTTCCCTACTTTCTGTTGCTGAGTTGGCTGGGAGGGAGAGAGACTCTTTGTATAGACAGGTTTAACATATTTTTTTAAAAAAAAAAAAGCTTTAAACAATTTACACTTTGCTACACTAGTCCAAACTACACAGCTACCTTAACAAAAAAGGGCTAAGAAAACATATAATCCAACCACAAAATCCACAGCAACACTTTAAGTGATAATTGCACTGACTTTTAATTTTAAGTTCTCCCATTAACACCCGTCCTCTACTACATATTCTGTGCTTTGGGAAGTCTTGTTAGTCACCAAACACAGTACCATAAGAGAAAAGCCACTGCTCAAATGCAGCATCTACAGGTATCAGACGGATGACTCAACTCAGAAGTGTTATCTAAAGCTTCATCTGCTGCTGTCAAGGTCTCCAACTATAAAACATTTTAACATATTTAAATGTTAAATACCCTCTACAAGTTATCAGAGTTTCAGAATCAAAACTGCTAAAAGCAACTTCCTTACCTGTAATGTTCTTGAGCGCTCAGAGAGGGGCAGGTGATCTACTTCCAAAATTAACTCTTCCACTGCTGAATACAAGTTCTCCTGCACCTCATCTCTCTTGGTAATCAATACATCTCTTTCAACCTATGGAGAAGGAAAAGCAAGTCAGCAACTTAGACCCAAATGCCACTGACACAATGTGGAAAGCAATACAAAAAAGTGTTAACCCCTGCAAAGTACAAATAGCACAATACATGCCTGTCTAGGAATGAATGAAAAAGCAAATTCTGGGCTTAACCTCTGATCCTATGATATGACCACCTTGCACACACACAGCATCCTTTACACTAGAAAAATATGACTATGTTATCAGACAGCTAAAGAAACAGTTACTGCAGTGCCTGTTGGTAAGAGTGGGACTCTTAACTGCCACTGTAAACTTAAAATGTCCCAGTTGTCCTGCAGTTCTTGATTGTGTTACAGAAATGAGAATTTGGACTATCCACACTTGCCAAATTACATTCACAAAGTCAGATTGCAAAAGATTTCTTGCCGGAGAAGAATACGGCCTAAGAAATCCTCTTACCTATCTTTTCCTTACCTTCTAGCAGGAAAGACAGGTGACCTGTAAAGCCCCTGATGATTATCATTAAATACAATTTCCTAGGCACAAAAAATAAGCTTTCCCTTGGACACCTCCTAATAACAAACAATACACAAATATATCTGTAATATAAATAGATGATAGAAAAAAACATAGGTTTTTCTCAGAGTTTTTAAATTTAGTTTATCCAGTGAAAGCTTAGAAGTCCACCAAAGAGAGTCTAGAAACCTTTTACCTGTAACAGATCAGGGCAGAAAGAGATCCAGTGGCTGGCAATTAAAAGATGAACAAACTCCAACTAAAAACAAAACTACAAATTGCAGCATACACTGCTTTAAAACTTACATTAAAAATTTAACAGATATGATAATTCAGCTAGACATTAGCAGGTTGGATAATGAAAAAAAATCAGTGGATTAAGTTCTGCTGTAGAAGGCAAATACAACATAGTGCTTCAGCACTTACTTAAAATATGAAACAACGATAAGATTTAACAGGGAGTTTTGCAGGTTTTGGGCATCTCTGGTTATCAAAAGCACAAACAACTTTTACAGACTTCCCACTGTTTCTTCTGCATAAGGAAGAGCTAGTTAGTAAAATACTGTAACACACTGCATAAAAAAGACCCCTTGTCATAAAGGACACTTCTCAAGACAAGTTTTCAGTAGAATAGTACTTCAAAACCTAGACCACTAAAGACTTTACGTACTAGACAACTCAACCAGGCAACCAAACTCCAATTAATACCAGTTCAAGCTCTAGAGTAAATGGTTTACACACGACTGAACGACAACCCAGGAACTCAACAGACACCTTGGGAGGCACAGGACAGGTCTCCTCCTGATGTCTGCCATTTAACTGGGCACATGGGACAGCTCATGCCTCAAATAATGCCTGTCAAGTAACAATAGCTTCAGAGAGCATTAAGTACACCGGCAGTATTTTAACAGCCAGCCTGCTTTACAAAGATGTAAGCTCATCACTACAGCAAACAGAAGAATTAAACTCCTTTACAACAAGCTAAAGCCTCCTCACACTACAAAATTTAGTTTGTGTCTGGTCCATCTTGTACTGCTTGGAAAAGAAAAAGAAAAAAACAAAACAAACATCACACCAAAAGCAAACACCCTGACCCATAATACTACAAAAAACCAAACACACAACCAACCACCAGGCTTGGTCATACCAAACACCAAACCAGCTTTCCATCTTGTTTCTGGTAACTACCGCAACACTTAGGAGAGTCCATAACAGCAGGATATGTATAATGCAATCACCTCATCAATGCATTCTTGCTTTAGTGTGATTTAATGACCTTGTAAGCAAGAGAAAAAAAGATTAATAACCCTCCATGGATAAATTTTAATCCATTTTTAGAGTCTATTTCTACTTGAGACCCCAGTTTTCTGGAATAGCTAAAGCTAGCTCTGGCATCAGCATCTTCATTAAAGGGCACTACTTAGCCCAATGTCTCCCATAAAAGAAAAAAAAAAAAAAAAAACAAAAAAAAACACCACACAATACAGTTGCATATTCTGTGGCATATTACAGCATATAAAATAGATCTTTAAAACTCCAAATGATTCTCAAGGAAAAAATAAGTCACTACACTGCACATTAAGACAGGACAATCTTTGTGGTATCAGAGCTCTAGCATGCTGTCACCAAGACTCTTGTTCTGTACCCTTCACCTACCAAAGTCTTCAAAATGCTTAAGCCAAATTCCAGAAGAGCCTTGTGATGCCTGCTTCCAGCTGCCATCATTTCATCCTAAAAACTAAACTAAACTAATTTTTCAGTGAGCTCTATACTTCCAAACACATTCTCACTTGCATAGCCTTTGCAGCACTAAGGCACTCTGGGGGATACCTGGCATCTAGCAGAACTCCTGCCTTCTTCCTTTTTCCCAGTTTAAAATATTTGTGACATTACTATGACAACCTCCTCTCCTCAGATAGTAGGAATGTTTTTTACAACAACAGCACACTCTTCAAAGTCACAAGACTAGATGCCAACATTCATTCCTACCTCAGCTTAGGCAACCAGGGACAACGTCAGAATGGAGAGGGGACCAGGGAGGTGCTGTTGATTTTTGAACAAAAGGTTTCAAGACAAGTGTGAGGCCACACCTTGCTAACACAAAACAGAGGGCTACACAAACATTGTGGAGCTACCAGAAGCAGCATAGTGTTGTAAGATCTTATCAGCAGTATCTGAAATATTTTGGCGGTGTAAGACACTACAACACAATACAGAGACATGATTTCATTGTCAGCCCTTCCCAACTGAAGTGAGTGACAATGTTCAGATTGTTCAACATATTCCAAGAAATCAGTCCACCAGAAAAACCTCAAGCACTCATCAAGAATGAAACCTTTTCACGATGTTTCTCATGGAAGAGTGCTGCTTGCTGGGATTAGCAACTCAAAAAAACAAAAAAAAAACAAAAAAAAAAAAAAAAGAAACTCTCACACAAACTACCACCTGAATGCTACCAAAGCAACCATCTCCTCTACTGAATAAACACTTTTAGACTGTCCCAGCCACACAACTGTAGCTGCATCTGTCCTAACCATTGTCCACATTAAGAGTTTGCTTTCCATCTATCCCCAGCCCTACTCAAAGTAAAATTGGATGACCAGGTGAAAACACATTCTAGAGTAGCTTTGCTCTACTTCTCTGCTGCTGTTCAACAAGGCTTACAGACTCACTCGAGCTCAGCCTTCTCCAGAAAACTGCTGCTGTTACACATGGGATCAGGAATTCACCCAAGGGAAGTTTGAGCCTGTGAATCCCTGAGCAGCCTTGGCTCCTCGATACCCCACAACTTAGATGCTCTTCTACACATTACTTCCCTAGAGAAGACGCAACACTAAAATGTCATCTGCTTATTAACTCTTATCTTAATGTTGTCAAATTTAAACATCTGATTTAGTTTTTAGTAAACAAAAGATCTTTTTTTTCACCCACAGCAATCACATGTATGCCATGCTGTAGACATCTTAATCCTTTTTCTTACACAACCAACAAAACCAGAACTTCCTTCTGTTCTCCTCATGGCTCACTACTTTCTAGTCCATTTCACGAGCCGTTAAATTCAGTGTACTACAGCAGCACTTCTTAAGCAAACACACATAAAATGCTTTAGGTTACACTTGAAAATAGTCACAACACATTTGGTGTCATCCTCCCAGAGGCACAACTGCCACCCCTTCCCACAATGCCTGCCACAGACCAGGGAACCCTCCTGTTCCCAAAAGCTGCATCGCCACAGGAGAGAGGAGGCACATAGACCTCCTTACGTCATGGAGCCCTGTCTGTGTACCCAAGCAGGGTTTTCCGGACCCGTGGCTGCTGAGAAGTTGCACTAGATGGCAGCTTTCCTCTACAGAAGTCCATCTTCCTATACAACTGCATTTGCATATCGCTTTCCCTCCCCTCCACACTACTGCTGCTTCAACAACAGCTTTTGAAGACAGACACTGCAGCTGCACAGCTGAAATGGTCTCTAACTACTATAGAACAACCACATTGTATCTAACCATGTAAAGAAATATACGGAAATTGGAAAAAAAATCAAGGGTGTCAAAAAGTCTACATTTAATACCAAAAAACCCCACAAACACTCCACAAATACATCAGTTGTGGCAAAGGCAGCTAAGTCTCCAATGTTATCTAGCAAAAGACAGGATGTTTATGTGCTGGGCTTATGCCATCCAGTTACACTTAAGAGACTAAAATACTCCTTCAACAGCTATTATAGCTCTTAAAAATTAAAAAAAAAAAATTCCAA